GAATCAGACTTTTCCTGTCTGTTTGTCGCCCTGAAGGCTCTCCTCCGGCTCATTTTTCTCCCGAGAGAATGACAGCCGATCACGCTTGGGATCATTTTAATCGAGATACACAAGGAAGAATCTACTGTATATTGAAGTGCGGCATAGGTGTAGCGTAGATAGGAAGAAGGCAAAACGGAGTTCTTTCCATATCTGGTCACATTTCCTCTCTCGGAATCCAGACACCCACGTCGAGATGCATTGTGAAAACGGGATGACAACCGATACTATCTACATATTTATTCTATTTTCGACGGAAATTTGTAGATCATCGCTTTCTATGACATACCCCTGATCTCGAACAGATTTCCTCGAAGATGCTCTGCTTACATGGTTTCGATTCAGGTCAGACAATAATGATTACACCTCATCCTGGAGATGTAAAAAATTATTCTTCATCGCGAATATTCGAAGGCCGAAGTCATCATTCTCTTTGTGTTAAATTAAATATTTTGACAACTCCCTAAAATTATCTATAAAATAAAGGCAAAAATGTGGATAGACGAGAGGCAGTAGGTGCTAAAAGGCATGCTTTACCTTTGACAATTTCGATCGGAAGAAGTGAATCTGGTCCGTCAAAAAATACTCATAATCAACGATCTTAGAAATGAGAGGGACCTCTTTCCCTTCCCTTCCAACATTGCTTGTCCCTTTCATCCCGGTCGAAGATCCACCAGTCAACGAAAAATTCATCTCCTTAGAGCTGCTGAATATGGAAACGGTCAGTAATAGTGTGAGTTGGATTGTCTGCATTCTTCCATTTCTATCAGTACATTTGTTTGCACTATGATTATTTAGGCTTTTAGGCCCCAGACGGCTTGCCACGTTGATTGTAAAAACTGAAACTGAGAGAATTCGTAGATGTGAACTTTTTTCAGATCTGTATGAAGTCTACCCAGTTCCTGCATTTATTATAAGCGATTGAGTGCGACGGCCTCGTGGGTGTCATGGATGAACGAGGCGGCAGGGGGACTCTCCAGAAACTATGGATTCAGTTTTGAACCACCTGGGATCTCCCAGCTAGAATAGGATTGCATTTATATTTGTGATCCGGCTGCTTCCGTGGTTGAACTCCAGCAAGAAACAGCTGACGAAACCATTCTCAGTCCAACTGGAAAATTCCAGCTAGAAACTAGTCTAAATCCAGCTTTCGTTATCTCTGCACTTTCCTAGCTGGGATTGATCTGAATTTGACTTCAGTCGAACAGGAGACTCCAACTGGGACTTCACACTGGATGATAGGCAGAATCATTGTGAAAAGCGGTTCAAGGAGGGGAAGGGTAGTGGTTGATGTATATTCTCCAAATCTAGTTGGATTACTTTTTTTAAGAGACCATCGTGCGCCAGCAGAATTGGCCCATACGAACCGGGTAGGTTAGTGATGGCCTTACCTGCTTTCCCTATTTTCCCCCTTATTACTTACTTTCCCGATTCCGTAATCAGGTGAGGCTGCATAGCTATGTGGGACTGTGATACCGTCACAACATGTGCTCCGCCTTGTCTCCTACGTGAAATGCCATGACCTTGAAAAAAAAAAACCCACTAAGGGTGGATTTTTGAACAGAGCACTATCCGATAATGCAGCTTTATTTACCGGATTTATAATGCATTTTCTCCGAAATAAAGCAGCATTATCGGATAATGCTCTGTTCAAAAATCCACCCTAAATATTTATCCTTGACCTTGCTAAGTCGCGTCCGCAAAGCGATGGAGTTGAAATCCAATTGGCTATGGATATTCTCGCGAACAGTGGCGGTTCATCAGAGTTGGCAGAAGAGCAGAGTTCAAACATTCAGTTCCCAATTTAATAGATGTAAAACTGTACTTCGATAAGCAAACCCTATAAATGTATGTCTTTACACGTTCAGAAACGAGAGCAGAATTAAATTTTGCTACCCGAGAAGGCACGATATTGTTTGCCCACGCGGACCAGCCTTGAACCCTACGTAGGGAGAACAATCATATCGTTCAAAATCGATATTTTTTCATTAGGAAAATCTCATGGCAGAGAATGAGCATCTTGACTTGGGGGAAGAAATTAGAAATTTCGCTTGAAGGGGTAGTAATTATTGGGGACGACTGTCCCCCCCCCCCGCTCCCCGCGCTTGCTACGGGCCCCCACCTTACTCTTTCTTCTTAGTCACAAGCTGCACGAATGATTTTTTCTCCCAGACTGGAACGGTAAAGGTCAGAGGGTAGAAAAACGGCCTCTTAAAAAGCCTTCAGCATAAGGTAACGGGGGCCTTTTGTACGTCGCCCCTATTTCCACGAATTCACAAACTGACACGTTCCCTTGATAGCAGATTTCGAAGGAAATTCATTGGAAAAAGTCCACAGACTGACAAGAAAACCAAGTGATCTCCCTATCGGTACTACTTACATTTTTTTGTCCTGGTCAGGGACTTACATGATGGATTTAATCGACTCCATTTTCCAAAATGCTTGTATTTTCGGCATTAGGGGTGATTTTTTTTTTTAACAGCATACCATTAGAAAAAGGCATAACTGACGTATTGTTGAAGCTAGGAACGGGAACCCTAACAGTCACGAACACATAAGGGAGATTGATTGCTCAGTGAGGGACATGTTCAATATATGTCCATTTCTCTGTTCAGTTAAGTTAACGTAGGCGCAGGGGGTACTCTTGCAAGGTTGCCTGCAACGCGTCCTCGGAAATGTCGCATCCTTTAACTCTGCATTGCCTGGTGGTCGCGTTTAAACACACTATCCTTCAAAAATGTATCCACAGGAAGTCGTAACATGGATTGAAATTGCTTCACCAGGCGCAGAACTGTTTCCTTTCCCGGCGCTACCCCCAGTCAGCAGTGTATGTGTGGCCATAGATCGGCGTATCTGCTGTGTTGTTTCTGTGGCTCTTCAGTGGTTAGACTATCTGTGGCTCAGGAAGGTCTTGCACACTTAGCCCGCGCTTGGCGGACAGGATGTTATACGCACTAGTGCAATCCGATTGAAGATCAATGAAAACTTCTGCAAATGCTTTTAAGCTTTGATGACAACCATACGTATCATTTTGATCATGAGATGCATTAATCAAAAATGACCGCGAAGATCCAATGTTCCAAAAGTTGGATTTAGAAGTTTTTGGGAAATATTGAGGTTCTCCTCCTTGTCACCAGATGGAGGTGTGTGTCTCGCTTTTCGCACAGTACACAAAAGTGCCTTCCCTTTCCTTGGAATCGTCTATCACAGGCGTGTTTAGTACCTCACCATATATCTCGCCTAATATTATAGAAATCAATAAACGCTGGCACTTCACCATTTATTACCCCCATATTCGAGACAGATTCATGGAGCCCAGGCTATAAACAAGCTCATATTCCCTATGAGAATCCTTTACTTTTCACGGATTTTGCCTCAGCAATATTTCGCGTGAACCTTTCCTCGGTTCTTCAATCTGAGGTCGGGATGAGGAAACTAGGAATTAAATTCGTAAATACTTCATGGAACGTAAAAGGATGGGCCTTTCCCTGAAACATTCTATAAATAGTAATGTGATCGGGTTGCCGCTGAAAAGCGGACATACATGGAGTAGCACATGCATACACCTCGTTCGTACCATGCTTGCACATGAAGATATGCAATCATGGCTCTGCTTGTCGCGGACTTGCCATACACATCTGCCACACTTGGCTGACTGGGTGCCACAGAAAATGAGGACATTTAGGATTACGCCCTATGTATATTACACCGATGGCGCACGCGTACATGTGTGGTTCTTGAACGTGGGCCAAGCATGGAACATCTGATCGTGCGGAGATAAACACTTGGCTCGGGGATAATTTTCTGAATGGGCCGTGTCCGATATTCATTACGAAACCTGATAGGAGAGAAGACCTGAGTGTCGCACCATCGCCGTACGATTTGTCCGGTCGACATCACTGGATCTTCAATGAAACTGGATCCGATCTCACCTTGCCGAATCACCATTCCGACAGTTCAAAAGATAACCAAAAAGCTCTCGAAGAATTGGTTTATGGAGTGCAGAGATTACTTAAATTACTTACTCCCAAGTCTGTAGAGGAAGAAATGGGACAGAGAAGAGGTGCTGAGTGCTGACATGGACGGAAACGTTAAGAGTGAAAGGTAAAAAGTAGCGGGGATAGCGGTGAAATTGGAAACCTATCTGATTTGCTCATGTGATCATAGAGTAGAGAGTGTAACTAGAGGCGACACTCCGAGGGGTAGGGGAGGGTCGAAATATTACAGAGACATCTGGTGGCATGTTATCAACGACACTTCCATGCGGCGTGCTTCGTGGCAGCGGAATCGGGAAACGACTCATTCGGAGATTCGACCCAAATGGATCCCTCAACGTAACACGCGTGTCTCGTTGAGTCCGCTGCTCGGCCGTGGAAGAGTTGTTGATGTGCGCCCGCTAGGTGGAGGATTGACAGCGACATCTATATTGCGACCCTGTCAATGAATGGGATTCGAGCAGAGTGTCGGCTCTAGTTACACTCTCTACTCTATGATGTGATAGAATAGCTCCAGAGCTTTGGTAACCTCATGCATCTCACCCAACTGATTTCCCTCCATCATTTGCATAGCCAATATTTCGATATATTAAGGATTTTTTCTCTGTTATCTACTTTCATTGAAAGCGCTTTCGAATGTAGAAAATTCTTTACGAAGAATGTATTAAGATTTCCTTTTACGCATGGAATGTGGGTGACTAATCTGAGCAAAAAAGAATGACGGTAGTCGCGTATAATGATGGAATGACCCATATCAGAACTGCTCAAACCAAAAACAAACTTACTTGCAGATATCAATAACATTAATACTAACAAATTTTCTTCTTGTAAGACTGGAATAGTGCACGCGACCCCTGCAAGGACAGTTTGATTTTCGAAAAGTCAAGTTCGTTCGTAGAATTTAAAAAAAATCCAGAACGGGAACAAGAGTCTCGTAAAATCTTTTAATTTCATCTCAGAAGCTGTTTATCCCATGCGAGCATTGAGGAGGCCGGCAAGAGCTCCTTGAAAGCCAGCGTTATAGTCAGTAGTAACTTCGCAGTGAACGTAATCATGCCGATCGTCATTGAAATTGTCATTGATATCTGGCCCTCCTACCAAAGCCCCCTCCAGGATCTGAGGATTCGGATCCGGCGAGTCGAAATGGCTCCAATCGCACTCACATCCTCCACACTCCTCTACAGTCGGACAAGAGCTACACCAGAAAGTACGAAAAAAAAAGTGATATACAGAACATGGCAATAAAAGACAAACGAATTTTAACCAATACCGGGTGGCACATAAAAAACGCGCCGAGAGTTTTGCATTTATTCTTCAACTTCCGGATGAAGCAGAGGCCTACAAATCATACAACGTCTACATCTATCTTTCCTCTCGACCCCATGAAGAGTGTTCATTTCTAGCTACCAGAGTACACCCACAGCGGCTGTTCGACTAAGACGCCTCAAAATGTTTCATTCCACGTACATCTCGGAAGGAGGAGTTACTGCACAAGCGCGGTATGACGGCAAGCTGACGCCTTTCTTGGCACTAAAAGTCTAGCTGGTGAGTCCTACAGGGTGGGTAAAAAAAGACAGTTTTCAGCTATAACTGATAGTTTCACTACCTTGTATACTGCACTCACTGCATATATTTAAATGCGGTTTGCGGCATTTGAAAAGGGGATGAGTAAGCTTTAAAATACCTACATTTCAAATATCTTTGTTTCAGAAATTCGGAAGCTCATGTGAAGAGCAAACAAAAACTGCATTTCCTTGTAGTAGTGGGGATGGACAGGCGGCGGCTGAAGGTCACTTGCCGTCATTGTACGGGTGTGCGGCACCGCAATTTTTGTTTGTTGAGCTCCCGAATTTCTAAAAATGTTGAGGATATTTGAAATGTAATTACACCATTTTAAAGCTTATTCATTTCTCATTCAAATGCGCAGAGCTGGGCAATATACAAGTGATTGAGTATTTGAATACAAAATACAAATGCCCATGAAAAAGTGTGTTGTAAATACAAAATATAAATACAGCCTAATAATATTATTTCAAATACGAAATACAAATATTTAAAATACATTTGAAAATAAAAAGTATATAAATTTTCAAGTTTACATCATGCCTTACAGATTTTGTCAAAAATCAGGAACCCTTCAGAAGTTCTGACCATTGGCCGTCATAGCACATTGGCTGAGCATGGCATTCTTTATGCTTTCCTTTCCGAATCCCAGACTGCTCCCCTTTATACCATTTTTTAATTCTCAACGAGATCTGGATATACCTCGTACTCTCTGAAAGCAAAGAACAGAAATATTAACCTGCATTGGCAAGATTTTGGCTTGCACAAGGCCTAGATCTAAAGATGGCCAATATATCACAAATTAAAAACCTTTATTGGGCCAAGGATAGGTTAGGTCAGCATATTCACACCAAGATATTGCAACACAATCCTACATTTTTGAAGAGCTGGATGCTGCAGCTAGAGTTCCACAAATCGCTTTCTCTGTAGAGCATGCAGCACATTTGGCCTTGACCTTCTGTCCCTCTCTTTCAACAATACTGAAGAATTTCTCATCAAATAAAGAAGGCAAGCCTTCTGAGACAGCCATGCTTGAAGTTGCACCAAATCAATTAAAAAGTATTTTATATTTTGTCAAATGTATTTCAAAATAATTTTTTTTGCAGAGAACTGTATTTTTTAATGTATAATACAAATACATATTGCGATATGTACAGTCGACGCTCGATATAACGAACCTCTATATAACGAATTTTCTTTACTGTGAATATTTTTTTCAGTTCCCGGCCGTTTTCTCCTTCACATGCATGTTGAAAAGTTTCTGTAAAACGAATTGTTTGGTTTTACGAAATCGTTTTTTACGTCCGAAGGAACAAGAATGTTCCATATTACAAAGTTAAAATCTGCTGCACATGTCAGAGCTACTTTCTTCCGCATATTCCTCGAAAATCTCATCTCGTATCTAAATATAGCATGTCCCACCTACTTGTTCGGTGTGGCTGTGGTAAGGGAACGACGTCAATCAGTCTTAATCTTCGCAGGATCTCTAGGATCAGGGTCAGGCCTAGGCAATAATTCTGCTCGGTCAAGCAATCGAAGCCTTCGATTATCTCCGGCTATTTTTGGGTCAGACCGAATGTTGGGCATGAAACGTTAAAACATCGAGTGCTCTGCAGACCATGGCTCAAAGAATCCTCCAGGAAAGCGCACGGCTGACGACCAATTGGGACTTCGTTTCCTTTAGAATAGAGAGCGTTGCTTACTCGTCCGACTTTTATTACACGTAATTTAGGTACCCATTTAGGTACATACATAACCCTCGAGAGTTGGATTTCTGCAATATTTCATGCGCTTAGACCTTCGCACTCATTTTATGATTGGACAACTTGGTTTTTAACACTAAGTGACATTTTGAAGTGATAATGACATAAGTTTAACAATTTCTCTTCTTTTTTTTCCAGCGAAAGAGAGAATTTTCCTATAACAAATTTTCCTTATAACGACTTTTTTTTAGCCCATCCCTTCGAGTTCGTTATATGGAGCGTCGACTGGATTTAAATACAAAAAAAATAATGATACAAAATACCTGAAATGTATTGAAATACGTACTTTCAATACAACTATTTTAAATACTGGCCACTTGTGCAAATGCAGCAAAAAGGTTTAAAATATGCATTGAGTGAAGTGCATTGTGTCGTTGAAAACTGTCCTTTTTTTGGCCCACCCAGTTGAAGGATCACTCCATTGCCAGAAAGAGAGCCAGCATTCCACAGGCCCGGAATGAGGTCACCATGAATGAGATCCCCAAGTCCATTGCTTAATGGAAAGCGATATTACGTGCCATATGAAACGCCAGAGGACCCATTGCGCATTTTTTTCAGACGAGGGGAGGCGTGATATGAAAAATTTAGAGGTGCCTTAGTCGAACAGCCGCTGTGGTAGCTCTGGTAGCTGGAAAGTTATACTCTTCGTGGAACTGAGTGGAAAGGTAGGTGTATACGTGGTAGTTTTTGTAGGACTCTGCCTCATTTAGAAGTTGAGAAATGAGCTTATAAATCTTGGCACTTTTTTATGCGCCACCCGGTATACGAGTTATACACATACCTGCTCTCACTGGAGCTATTTAGAGAAAATTTCACTGTGTAGATGGATTTGTTCATAACATGTCTCAAATCTCCAAACCTTCCAAACTCATCGCTCCAAGACAAGACAATGAGCAATAAGTAAATGAAGTTGGATGATGGAAATGGACACGAGCTCATGCTGGTAGAGGAGTGAGTGGTGAGTATTGTGCTTGCTTGTCATCTAGGCCACATCGATCCTCTCTTTTATGAAGATTCATTTTTTAGTCTGGCCTTTTCTTGCTGATAGTTTTGAGAAGATTTATGTCTATAAATGACACATGAATCAATGAGTATCAAAACAGGGAGATTGCTCAGTTTATTCAGATTTTCCCTTGCTTTACGTACGATGATAGGGCAGGAGGATGAGGCACTCAGAAGGGATTGGAGTTTCTTGTCCATCTTCCAATTCCGATTTCTTTTGAATCATTGCCTTGCTTTTGCAATACAGGCCAAATCTCGTTACAACGAACTTCAAGAATTATTTCGTTGTACTGAAATTTCGTTGTATCGAATATTGCTCGAAATAAGTTCAAAATAAACATTCTTTATTCAAATTAGCTGTGCCTTCCAACGTGCAGACCACAGATGCAGTAACTTTCCACTTTATTTTGTTTGGAGAAAATTTGTAATTTTGGATTGCACAAGAGTTTGTGCTGCCTTGTCAATGTCATCGTAGAAAGCACCACGTATTCTCTTTTGTTTTGCCCTCAGAGCCGCTTTCCTCACTTTTTCTTTACTTTTGGCACGATCCTTCAAGAACGAGGATAACAGAGGGAGTGATGCTGAATTCTTTTACCGCGTCTCCTTTCTTCCTGTCGGAATCTACTGCTTCCACTACTTTCATTTTTCTTTCGACCAAAACTGTCGGCGTTTCTTGTTTCCCTCGTCAGCCATGTCTGCGGGATGGGGCGCATAGGTACAGTGTGATGTAAGTGATGAGGTTTCGACCACGACTAGCCAGCGCCGACTACTGTACGTTCCTCCTCGCACTAACACTTTTTATGCCACAAGCGTGGGAAACAGAGAATTCTGACTCTCTCAAGGTCCAAAGGGAAGGAGGGGGCTGTCGCGAACCACAGACGATCGTCCCTTCGTAAACAATCAAGTGTTGGATATTTGTTTGTTATAACGAGTGACTATTATACGTACAGGGGCTGAAAAAAAAGCGTTTGTTGTACTGAATTATTCGTAGTCACGAGATCTACCAAGTCTACTGCGGGCCATCGGCCGGGATTTGGAATAATATTTTCGTTTTAGTGAGATTTTTGTTGTAACGGAATTCGTCGTAACGAGATTTGACCTGTATCATATTTGATGAAGTTTCAAAAGTCTGTCATTTTGTTGTTTTTTTTTTACATACTTTGTATATCTACCTCGAAATGGTATGGACATCGAAATACCTTGTTCATGCTACGTGGCAATACTCTTGAATCTTGCAGATGTGAGCAAGCTGACTTGAGCTTCAAATCCCTGCTTCATTGCTCTTAGAGTAACGGTGTATGATGTTGGGTGTAAACTTTTTCGGGATAAAGAATCCATAGAGGGATTGCTAACAGCTAATTGTTTTTATCTTCCGTCCGATATTCTTCAGGAGGACCCAGGAGAACTCAGCTCAGTGGACTTAAGCGAGCAAGCGTGCAAGTTGCACGTGTCCGGGAGTTGGCTTAGACTTAGAGTTGGCTTAGAAAAATAAGTTACTTACGTCAATTTTTTCGCTCACACTACATGCATTCTCAGCTACAAGTAAGCTTGGTTTCGTGTGTAAGATTTACATGTATCGCAATCGATGAAGGAGACACTAACCTGGATGCATGGTGAGGGTATCTAGGGTAGTTGTCCCCGAATCCAATCACATAGCTATAACCAGTATCTCCCAACATGTAACCGATCTGCTGCTGAGCGAAATCTTGGTATAGCCCCTCGTTTATTCCCAGCTTATCCGCTGCCTATCATACGAAAAGAATGTTATAAATAAAAGCAAAGAAGGATATGCTGCATCGAGGCTTTCAAAAACTTGGAATATCGTGCAGTTCAAGTTGCTTATTGCTAAAAAGTCATATTTACATAACCTGAATCTCTCCTGGACATTGCCATTGAGACATGAACCCTCTGACAAGCTTCATGCTCATGTATTATCGATCTGCCAATTAGTTGAGAAGTGTTCCAACTGCCATTTGGCAATTATGGAAAATCAATGTTGTTATGCAGACTGCGCCGTTCACACATTTCCTAGAACTGCACAATACCACTCTCCCCCAATAGTTCTTGTTTCCCGACTCACCAAGAGGCAGATGTAAGCGACATTAGCGGCGTGACGAAGCGAGCCCCACTCTAAGATGAAGACGAGACCTTTGGGTGTCCTGGGCAACTCATACACTACGTAGTCGCAGAAGGCTTGGACTGCAGTCGTGTATTTCTCATCACCAGTCATCTCCGCCAGGAGCACCTGCCCAGTCGATCGAGGAATGGACTATGAATCAAAGCGCCTTTCGTTTGAGTTTATAACTTTTGGCAGTGACGTCATCAAAGACTTTTTCCGAGTTTCTAGTCTTTAATTCGTTCGTCGTGAAGAAATAAAAAAAATTTTAAAGATGTTTTAGGATAATCATGTGAATTCTGGGATCAAGCTGTTAGGCAAAAAATTGTGTATTTCAAAATATGGGGATCGGGTTTCAAGTGGTTGCATCCGAGGATGCGTTGTGCCCCGATAGGACTAAGAAATATCAATGTCCAAAGCTGGTAAGTATATATAGTTTACGTTAACTGAAATTTTCGTTTTATTCCATTTATCTGAAGCGTAACCAACCATCATCGTACCAATATTGAACATAAACGCACGTACTTGAACGCCCGCATTCTTGTCGTCCCACGAGAATTCCATCGGCCGCGCATTCAGCCCAAATTCGTCGTACTTCCTCTCAGCATCATCCAAGTAAGACTGTTCTTGAGTTGCCCGATACAGCCACGTTGCCGCCCATGCAAGTTCGTCATTGTAACCGCTCCACGACCTGAAATGTCCACTATTCCAGAAAATCTTTTCCCACACCCGTTTCGTTCGCACGACAGGCAGCAACTGGCATACTGGTAATAATCGCCAGCATCAGGAATAGAGTCCATGTAGGTGGCTCTGTTCTCATCGCCGAAGGCATAGAGTTCCCTGGCATGCTGAAGGAGGGTGTTCGCATATCCATCTTCGTGTCCCCTGAATACCATGGAACTGGCAGCCATGGCTGCCGCTGTTTCCGCCGCCAATTCCGTTCCTACGTTCAAGCATGGACACAATGCGACTCGTATCATCAAGCAAAATTGCTTCCGGGACATCTGCAGAGTCAGAAATAAATGTCACCTGGAGAATTTTCATCGATGAAGTACGAGGGTCTCTCTTTCTCATCGTAGGGCCAATCCTCGGGTCGACCCCAATACGAATGATCGATTCCTCCGTTCCCAACTTGACCGAAGAACTTCTTCGCCGATGGATGAGCCTGAGTCACGATCCCGACTTAGTCGGACCACGGACTCCCGATTTCGAACTTCCCCGTTTGAAATGCTCGAAGATAGCCTACCTTGATGAAGTACAGTAATCGGTGGCCCATCGAAGTTGCGCTCTACCTGCCTCTGCCAAACCGGCATTTTCATATCCATTTGCGTATTCGACCATTCCCCAAGCCAGGACGGTGGTCGTGTATGCCATCGGGAAGCCGAATTTCACGTAGTCTCCAGCTGTATTCACGTCATTCATTTCACTCGATCACTTCCTATGTGACGTCGAAACCATTATATAATACGAGAGACTTCATAGTTACCATCGAAGTATCCACCGTCCAAGTCGAAACCGTTGTCGTCTCCATCAGTGAGGAAAGAACTCTTTCTCCAAGGTATATGATTGTCTGGCAACTGTCCTGCTCTTTGGGCTTCGAAGAACTTGTAGCTGAGTCGTATGACGGAAGCATAGTCGTAGTCTCCTTGGCCGTGACTCACCCCGAAAAGTGCCACCAAATACAGGAGCAACTAAAGGAAAGAAAGACAGATACACCGCTTTGGACCGACCAGGACAAGTACAATACTTCCATCATCGGCTAACGCAATTGTTCGATGGTCGAATTATTGAACCCACCATGTCAGATTAAGTTTCAGACGAGCTCGACCGCACGATTGACGTTAAAATGTATACGCCATTTTGTTTTCCAATTCCCCCGACGTAGTCAGGTTCAAGTGTTTCTATTCCCATCATGTGAAAGTTGTCCTAGTCATCTACCCCCGATTCTTCTGCGCGACGGTACACCTGTGCTTTGTTTTGATTGGAGCTGTCCGGGGCTTGGCTCCTGCTCCTTGCCTGGCAACAGGGACGTCATTTGGTGAAACTGCAAGGGGGAGGCAAAGAAGCTATGCAACTTGAATAAACGCAGTTCGGCGAGAAATGTTATCGCTTGCTTCAACTTCGCGAATTTTTCGAGGCATTCAATGGCGAAATTAATTCGTTTGTGAATTTTTTTCCCTCCGAATGGGCTAGTGGTCAAAGTAAAAGGGGTTGTCCAGTTCGTGAAATTACAAATTTGCGAAATTAAGAAAAAAAGTAGATTTTAGGGTTTCGCGAAATAAAGCTGGCGCCAGAAATCCTTCCTGCTTTGTAACGTAAAGTTGGCTGCAAGAAGAACGATATCTAATTAGATGAAATTGCACTCATTATTCCCTTCAGCAGCAGAAATTCTCTCAAATGAAAGTTCAAGAATTGATTATTTAATGCTCGAGTCGGGACTCATTTGAAGAAAGGTAATCAATAGTTTTTAATTGCAGATTTGGAATCTTTTGCTCATAACTAAAAGTCTTAAAAATCTTTTTTTCTTAATGATGTCCTTAAGATATTCAGATACTTATAATTGCAAATTTAAATTGCAGTGCGCTTCTATTGAATTAGCCTATTATTTGGAGAGTTCATACATTGCGAAGATTATGTATTGCCTTGCAAGTACCTGTAAATTATGAAAAGTAAGAGAAAAAAGTAGCGCTTATCGAAAATATTGAATACGAGTTTGTTTGCCCTTCGGGCAAACAAACTTGCTATATTCGCGCCTTCGGCGCTCCATTACCTTGGATAGTGATTAATTCTTTTATTCTTTGGGGAATAGCAAACACATATATAAAGTACGTCCCCATTGAAATACGTGACTTATGGGGACGAAAGTCTTGGTTTTTATCAAAATCATTACTTCTATGATTTCTAGTGTGCCTAACTTGAAATCTTTTCTTGTGCCCCTTTTTGTAACGGTGGAGAATACATTTTGAAATACTTTCCTCCTATAATCTATGCTAAGGAAACATATTTCAAAAGTAGGATTTTTTCTGTATTCAACCATGAAACAGGTACTTCTGAGGGAAGTTTACATTTTCTGTCTCTGTTTCGTTGGATCAAAAAAAATTCAGGAAAATGGGACTGAATAAAAGTGCCCTGATGGGTTTTAACGTACTTTTTTTTTCTTTCGAAATGTAGGCTCAGGGAACTCCATGCCATCCAGTTTCAGCCTTATACCTTTCCCCTTTTTGCTGGCGGAAAAAAATGTATTTGGAAAAGCGACCCACCCAAAAGCTGTGCTCTGGGGAGACGCAGAACAAAAATTGAATTTTTCCTTAAATCAACATCACGTCCGTTATGCGTGCGCAAAAAAAATTAATTAGTAGGGAGGAACTCAGACCCCCGTTTACTTACATACACCATATATATGTATTCAATATATCATACAGATAACTCAGGTGCACAATTTCCTAAAAGTTAAGCCGAGTTATATGTACAACCAGTTTAGAAAAGTCCGCCATTTACTATTTAGGAGTTCTCTGGAAAAAAGTGTTAATGTGCAAATGATACTATTTCAGGTAAGCCAGAAAATCTCAGTGACTGAATGGCATCCGGTTGAACTGAGCTACTTCTTCCTTGTTGGACATCTCAACCACACTAAAATCATTCACTTCTATTGCAGTAGCCTAAAACAGTGCATGAACATGGATATGGAAAGGGCTATAAAGGATTTTTACAAATCATTTATATAACGCGCTCTTGGCGCTCAAGATAGCAACCCCAGAATATTAATCTAACGGATTTCTCCTGAACAAATTATACTTGGTGACGCAAAAAATAAAATGTGTCCTGTTTGACGATGTATAAAACACTCTGTGAATAATCTAGGTTCGTGGTTTTTTTTATCACATTGGAAACACTATACCTTTTGTTTCTTGAAAGTTTCCTGAGTTTAGGTTGTATGAATAAGCAGCGACAGTAACGTGACAGTAAAGGGAACGTGAAGTTCCTTTTTCACGCTTGAAGTGGATGGAGTTTAAGCACTGCTCAGATGTTTTCTCTCCCCTAACGCAAAAAGGCTGCTTTTAAAGCCATGTCTTCGTCATAGTGGTCTATGTCGTAGAATAGTACTACTGTTGAACGCCGTAGATCACAATCGACTCTATTCCAGAACTTTAGTAACCTTTAGAGCAGCGGTCAGCTATTAGTGACCCGCGGGCCGGATCCGGCCCGTAGAAGCTCTTTCTCTGGCGCGCGAAGACCCGGCTTTCGCACATTACGGTCTGACGGTCGCCGTTCGGCTGGACGTTTGGCAAAATTAAAATTTATTGGCACTTGATAGGTGTTGGCCTGCGAACGTGCAGCATTTTGTCATCCGGCCCCCCGTGAAATTCAGTTGCCGACCACTGCTTTAGAGCATCTCACCCAAGGGATTTCCCTCATTTACATCGCTAATCTTTAGGTATTACGGTTTTTCCCCACGATCTACTCTTATTTTCCAATGAGCTTTCCGATATATAAAAGACGTTACGAGGAATGTATTTGATATTTCCTTCACCCACGGGCGACTTTAGGTAGAAACTAATCTGAGCAACAACAAAATAAAGAAAACCAGCGTAGTCGCGGATAGTGATGGAAGTGACCAGAGCTGCTCAGGGCTAACAACAATTATTCAAGAATGGCATTCATTTTATTAATGAATTCCTTTTTAGCAAGACTGGAATCGTCCACGCGAAGCTCGCAAGGATGATCAGATTCGAAAAGATGAAGTTCATTCGTGGTGGGAAAAAGATGACAGGAGTTTCATGAAATCTTTTCATTTAATCTCAGAAGCTGTTTATCCCATGCGAACATTGAGGAGGCCAGCAAGAGCTCCCTGGAAGGCAGCATTATAGTCGGTAGTAACTTCGCAGCGGACGTAATCGTGGCGATCGTCATTGAAATTGTCATTGATATCTGGCCCTCCTACCAAAGCCCCCTCCAGGATCTGAGGATTCGGATCCGGCGAGTCGAAATGGCTCCAATTGCACTCACATCCTCCACACTCCTCTACGGTCGGGCAGGAACTACACCAGATGGCATGAAAAAATAAATATGTAACATACAGGGTGATTATAAATAAAGTATCCCACTTGAGATCGCTATAACGCCTAAACTATATAGTTGATGATATTGCACACACACGTGTGACAAGTGACACATGGGGAGTCAACTCCAAAACGTATTAGATCCTGCCATAGAGGGCACCACCAAAGTATAATTTGCATTGAAGGCATGCCATTTGTGCTGAAAAGCTTCAGTTTAAGCTTCTGAGGGCAAGTTCAACTGCCCCTTCTGCACTCTTGTCACCTTCATGTTGCATATTGGTCAATATAGCGATATCAGCTGCGTATTTATACCATTTTTCCATTGGCATTGCAGAGTAATATTCAAATTATGCAATGGTGGCGCCCCCATAACAAAATTGGATAAATTCTGGAATTAATAAAATTGACTCCTCATGCGTCATTTGTCACGTGAGCGACGGCATCGTCATTATAGTTTAGGTGCAATAACGCTCTCAAGTGTGATACTTTATGATTTACCAGTAAATTCACCGCGCACCGATCAATCATCAATATGCCTAGTACCCGCTAAGTACCACTTCACTAAAACCTTACCTATGTGAGAAAGCTTAGCTCCTAGGTCTTAGCTTGAGCTCCTAGGCCCCCCTTCCTTGCCCTCTGTAATCCGGATGTGGCGGTAGGGACAAATTCGTCATATGATCATGACTCCATTGAAGGATTGCTAACCACTCAGCTGTTAACTGCAAGTCATTTCTTTTCCAAATGCTTAGGCCCCATATATTCCGATTTTGCCCGGATATAAAATATTCGAAGTTTTCATCTTTTTTCACGCAACAATTATTCAGAGGCACCTGACGATTTAGCTCCATAGACATCACGTGGACGTGAGCAAGCAGGCATACAGACTACACATCTGGAAGCTTCCTTAGAAGAGCAAAAATACTCCCGTTAGCGGTTCCGTTCTACAATATCTACTCCCTGCCGCAAGAAAGCTTGCTTTCGTACGCAAGATTCACATGTAGCAAGATCGGAACGGAAAGCACTAACCTGGATCTGTGGTGTGGTTGCCCGGGGTAGTTGTCCCCGAATCCAATCACATAGCTATAACCAGTATCTCCCAACATATAACCGATCTGCTGCCGGGTAAAATCTCGGTATGCCCCCTCGTTTATCCCCAGCTTGTCCGCTGCCTATCAGACGAAAAGAAGGGGGGGGGGAAGGACATGTTGCATCAATGCCTCTAAAAACCTGGAATATCTTGCAGTTCGGGCTGCTTATTGCTTCAGAGACTAGTACATACATTTATATGACCTGAATCGCCATGGACGTTGCCATGGAGACATGAATGTTCTCTCTGACGAGCATCCGGTATCATGGCTATGCATTATTGATCTGCCCTTGATTGATCCTTGAGAGCTTTGAATGATTCCTGAGATGTCCCTTTTCCATGAATATAAGATGGACCTATACGCGCGCACGTGGGTTTATTCGGAAATGCATCCTTGTTCCTTTTTTTTATATATTTAAAAGAGAGAGAACACCTTTCTCCTTCATGTCCACCTCACATAGAGAGACGAGAAAATAACACGTACCTACAGGGTGCCTCATAACCTTTACCTAGGGAACCCTTGGAAAATGTTATGAAACATTGAGTTCTGCATTGATCCGTCTGACTCTTCATTTCAAATACATAAATGATACGGAAGAACGAATCGCCCAACGCACTACTGGTTTAACTGCTGGTTCTTCCATTCTCTGTTGATGAATGCAGCACCTGCATCCCGCGCAATTCGAAAACGCATTGAATACTGTAAAAAAAAATATTTGTCCATCCGAACCATTAATCAGATTCTTCCTTTTATAGTCACAATATATTTGCACAAATCTATGCAGAGTTAGATGGGCTTCAATTTGATATTGACTGTACGTAGTATGAATGCACTGTGCCACCCCATGTTTCAGGGATCACCTTGCAATAGGATATTTGGCACCTACTAATTCTACTTACTGGAAAAATTAACACAGCTTCTACTGTACAGCTTTCTTGCATAATGAGTCTGATTGACAAGTTACTCGTATCCACTAAGGAGGGTCGCCGGTATCTCCCAGTATGGTAGCATGAATGTCACTGGTGATCCGAAGCTAATATACGGAATGACCCCCCCCCCTTCCCAAAAAAAAGTCCATATCCAAGATGTAATGATAATGCAATCAGTAGCATCTCTGATGCAAAAAAAATATTGTTCTGGGAGAAAAATTATTTCTCTTCATTTTCTTTATGCAGAATTCGATATTTATTCTATTCTAGTTGATGGCTTGAAATAGAACGCGACACAGGTCATGGCAATGATTCAACTGCCTATGAAGTTGAATGAATTGCCATGACCTACGTTGTCCCTTACACGATTTAATTTCATTTGTGTTCCATCTCTAAGAAGATGGAGTTTTAAAGATTAGTTCAGAATCATCAATGTCATCACTTGTGTTATTTACATCCATGCCAAATGGGGTTTAGCATCTTCAGCTCCTTCGAACACATCCCTTTATGAAACCTGGGATCTACGGTCTGTGTCCTGTCAATCAAAAAACTAACTTGCTGTAAGTGGACCTCTTTGAAACTGAGGAGTGAGACAAGACCACTGGTGACTCGCATGTTGTGTTGAGGAATGAAGAATTCCACAACAGCTAACAGTAATAATTTGACCAGAAATGAAATCCTACTGAGTTCTGGCTTTGAATGCGCATACTGCCCTGAAGTAGTTAGAAACACCTTTGGTAATCAGCCAGTAAAGTTACATGAGAGTTTATATATTATTTTGTTCAGAACGTGCAAATTCTGCAATGCATACCATAGTATTGTTTGTTTTTCACAGGAGAGGATCTAAAGATGTTACTGGTTCCATCGATTTTTCAAAAAGGCTTTAAAATTTTGCCATTCCCTAAGCACCGTCGATATACCATGGTGAGATAAAACATGAAAGCACATGTTCCTGTTGTTACCCTATATACTGTACAGGTGCTTCTATGAACTGATTTAATACAAAACATGGAAATAGAATGCCAAGTTAATCAAAATGTTCCGAGTCCAGGTAAATATTTTCCGTTCTAACCTATACAGCTATAAATGGATCGTGCAGGCGTTATCCACAGTATCTCTTTCCAATTCGAATGAGATTGCATGGATTATGTTCCATATTCAAGGAAGCTGGAGTATGCTCCCGAGCAGAATCGTCAGTCATGACGTCTGTGTGGGTCTCAATTGGAGTTACTCCTAAATTCTGTCAGATCATTTATTCCGATTTTTTATTTCCTGACTCACCAAGAGACAGATGTAAGCGACATTGGCGGCGTGACGAAGCGAGCCCCACTGTTGAATGAAGACAAGACCTTTGGGTGTCCTGGGCACCTCATACACTACGTAGTCGCAGAAGGCTTGGACTGCAGTCGTGTATTTCTCGTCGCCAGTCATCTCCGCCAGGAGCACCTGCCCAGTCGATCGAGGAATGGACTATGAATCAAAGTGAATTTCATTGGAGTCTCCACCTGCCAGGCCCATCCATCAATGAATGGGGTATGATTTAATTCTCTTGAGGGTGGTGGTAGCATATGTAACCACCTCTTGATAATAATAATAATATTTTATACAGCACATAGTTCCTCCATCACACACGCGATGGCGTCGATCTACAGGAACTATACTACTGTATCTAGTACTACTACTGCAATTTTCGTGTTTGTTTCAGAGAGGTTATTCGTGCTTCAAAGAATAAAGCGTACATTGACGTTTTCAATGATGTCCTCCGGTTTTCTTGTCTTTGCTTAATTAAAAAATCGTTAAAAAATATATATTTCTATGGTTTCATTAACAACGTGAACCTCGAGTTCCATCTGTGCCGGGCATTTGGATTTGTCCCGTGGATTACGTTCCCATGTAGTTGTACCTACTATTAGGTTGCTCATGAAGAGAACAAGCAAATATCAAAATCGAAGCCACGGATTCGAGCATTTAGTATTCAGGTCGACTGAAATTCTCTTTACGTAATTATTATATTTATGTACCCTTTACATGTAGCGTAACTGTGCAAGCATCGAACCGAGAATAAGAGAAACGCACGTACTTGAACGCCAGCCTTCTTGTCGTCCCATGAGAATTCCATCGGCCGCGCATTCAGCCCAAATTCGTCGTACTTCCTCTGAGCATCATCCAAGTAGGACTGTTCTTGAGTTGCCCGATACAGCCACGTTGCTGCCCACCCCAATTCGTCATTGTAACCGCTCCACGACCTGAAATGTCCACGATTGCAGAAAATCTTTTCCCACACCCGTTTCGTTCGCACGACAGGCAGCAACTGCATACTGGTAATAATTGCCAGCATCAGGAATAGAGTCCGTGTAGGTGGCTCTGTTCTCATCGCCGAAGGCATAGAGTTCCCTGGCATGCTGAAGGAGGGTGTTCGCATATCCGTCGTCGTGTCCCCTGAATACCATGGAACTGGCAGCCATGGCTGCCGCTGTTTCCGCCGCCAATTCCGTTCCTACGTTCAAGCATGGACACAATGCGACTCGTATCAGCAAGCAAA